TAACTTCTTAAACAAACTATGGTAACCATCAACCTGGTACCTCTGACCACAGGAGCAAATTCTATATAGGAAAATCAAACATATACCAGGCACTTGTATGCAGTGCTTTTCTCCCTAGTGAAGTGATTTTACTCTTTTGCGTTGGGGACAGGGGGATAAAGATGGGTAGGAGATAGGATAAAGTAATGAATGAAGTCAAAGATAGCAGAGTCAAGGCTGGAGATCAAAGAATGATCACCCAAGTTTTGGGAAACTGGAGGACGCAGGAGAGGGAAAGAATGAAATAGAATGCAAAGGAGAAATCAGAAAGAGGAGAGAGAATGTTTACTTACTTAAAAGTTTAAATTGAAGAAATAATTGAGGAAAGAGAGAAAGAAGATCAATAGAAGAAAACAAATAGAAAGGTAAGAAACCTAAATAGTGAAAGAAGGGAGAAACGGGATAATGGAAAAGAAGACGAAGAAGAAGAAGGAGAAGGAGAAGGAGAAGGAGAAGGAGACGGAGACGGAGACGGAGACGGAGACGAAGAAGCAGAAGCAGAAGAAGAAGAAGAAGAAGAAGAAGAAGAAGAAGAAGAAGAAGAAGAAGAAGAAGAAGAAGAAGAAGCAGACGAAGAGAAAGAGAAAGAAAAAGAAAAAGAAAAAGAAGAAAGAAGAAAAGAAGAAGAAGAGGAAGAAGAAGAAGATGACAACGATGACCTGGGAAAGAGCGGGAAAAAGAAAAAAAACCAAAACAAAAATAACCACAAAATACAAAACAAAACAAGATGATGCCCAACCAGACTGGTAAGGGACAGCCAATTAGACAAACGAGAGAATAAAAGTAGTAAAATACCTCTGGTGTTTACAGTTCTGGGATAGTGTCCTTGTTAGATCCCAGAAATGTGTTGAGTATGGAGCTGATCTGGGCCTCTGGATGTGAGGGTGGACTGGTCCTCTGTTAGTGGAGCTCTCTGAAGCCCAACTGCTGGCTTCTCACAGCTGCTTCAGATGCTTCTACTTTGCTGGTCTCACTACTGAATATTGCACCTGCCAAAGATGTGTGTGCACCTATATGCCCGGCTCTGCTGTTCTGGGATCTCCTTTTACATTTTGTCTCCGCTACTGTGTCACAGGGAGGAGGGATTCAAGCTGTGGCCTGACGTTAAATTCCCTCAGTACAAAGTGCAGATTCTTTTTTATCAAATTTTATTTAAAGAAAAAAAAAACAGTAAAAGGGTACAAGTAAAACAGAATTTCAAAAAAAAAAAAAACAGTAAGAAATCACTAGATAATAGATTACATATTGTCCTCTTAGAAATATTTGTTCAAGTTACAAAATTAAGCATACAAAGTGGACATTCAAACAGTGAGACTGCTAACAGTTGTGTTCAATGGTCCAACAAAAACTTAGTAATATAGTCATATATCTTACACATCTAAGCACACTTGTAGTTGTATCCTTTAGAGCACTTTTTTTTCCTCTCTTTTTTACAATAACAATTACATATTTTGGGTTTTATTACTCCCACAGATCTTATTACTTTTTTTTGGAAGAGAATAAAACCAAATGTGACAAAACAAAGCAAAGTCAGTCAAAACAAAGGATGGACATAGCACATGATGTAAAAACAGAATACAAGGTAATCAACAATGGTTACCATAATGTCTCTTGCTACCTTAAAAAGAATTGCCTATACCATCAGGTATAACAAAATTGAACAAAACATTACAGAACAAAACCAATAAAACCTAAACATTGGAGACATTACAGGACTTCAAAAGAAGATCATAGTCAAACCAGAATGCAGATTCTTGAATGCCGACTTCAGGGCAAATACAACAGGTCCCTGTGGCAAGGCTCAAAGAAACTGAGAAGCTATGATTGGTTTCTGGAGCCCCAATCTCCCTCTAGATATTCAGGTCTGCCTTTCCCACACCCTTTGCCCATTCTGCTACATCTAGGCCACAGAGGGCTCACAAAGGGACAATGTGTGCTGTGCACATGCACAGTTGCTGAGGAACTTCTCTTAAAGGTCAAGGGGGCCCCACCCTTTCTGGGTAATTTCTGACAGGGAGCAGTGAGGGGCTAGGGCCAGGCCAGATGTAATAAGCTTTGTGGACAACTAAAAGAAATGAGGAAAGTAAATGTGAAAGGCAGCAGACAACCCTGAATTGCTCATGCTTTTATTCTTAATCCTTTCATTGAAATTTCTGGACAACAGGAACTTCTATTTTAGTTGATTCAAAATGAAGTGGAAATCTATAACATAAACCTAGCCCCTTGTTGGGGTTTAGCTCAGCAGCATAAGCGCCTGCCTGGCAAGCATAAAGTCATGAGTTTGATTCTCAGTACCAAAAAACAAACAAACAAACAAACTAGCCCCCTCTTTTTTTCAAAGTGCTATGGATGGAACCCAGATCTACAGGTACTCCAGGCAAGCACAATACTACAGATCTACATCCCCAGACTAACAGTAGCCATTTTAAAGTGAACAGTTCTATGGCATTTAGTACATTCATGGTATTAGGCAACCATCACCACTAGTTCCAAAATATTTGCACCATCCCAAAGAAACACTATGCCCCTGTTATGGATTAAAAACTGATGGTCAACTTAACACCAGATGAATTAAATCAGCATGGTGCTCAGCATAGATGGCCCACCTGAGGAAAGTTACCAGCCTAAACACAGATGTAGAGAGGAAGAGTGGTGTGTTGCAGGTTTCTCTAAGTGTTGCTGTTTGAGCCTTTGGTTCTTTTGGAGGAGCTCGTGTTGACTAGCTTCTGCAGTGTGAGTTTGACCATTGTCATTGGAGGAGCTCAGGACCTTGTTGGTGAGAGTGGTTGTGGTACACTTTGGGGAGTTCTGGTCCTTACACCAAGCATCGCTTCCTGGCTCCAGAGGGGAAGATGTGTGCTGTTTAATCTCCAGGACAAACTCATCATGCTTGCTTTCTGGCATGTACTAACTGTTCTTATTGTCAAAGGAGCTTGGGACCTCCATGTCCCCGAGGATGGCTGTGGTGCTTTTCAGGGCAGCTCTGGTTCTTATTTTGATTATGAATTCTCTAATTCTGCATAGAACCCTCAATCTAACAGCACAGCTCCTTCACCCCACTGGCATAGATTTTCTAGTTTCCACCACTGACCTTTGGGCCTTCCTGGCACAGATCTGTACAAGGACTGGCATGAGTCCTCCTTGTGGTCTTTAGACCTCCAGAGGGACTTGGAGACATCATCAGGGGCTCTAGGTCTCCATCTAGACTCATGTAGGGCATTTCTGTGGGATGAATATTCTGAGTCTTTAGTGTTGTGGACAGATTTCCTGCATTTTCTGTGTTTAACTCTGGGTGATCATCATAAAATAATATAAATTCTGTGTCCTGATTCTAATTTTTCTCCTCACAACGGCTAACTACGACAGCTCATTCAAAAGTAACACTACATCCCTCCTACCCCACCCCCAGTCTTCTTTCTCTCTCCAGCTTGTTATTTATCTCTATGGATTTACCTACTAAGGCTATGTCACAGAATGGAAGCATAAAATACGTGACCTGTGTCTGTTTCCAACCCTCATTTTAAAGCTTTGGGCTTTCACCCACCTTGTCACAAAAGTCTGTACTTGATTCCTTTCTATTGTCGATTAATACCCATAACTTGTGTAGGTGGTTTATCAATTTACCTACTTTTTATTTTATTGATGTATTTTTATTAGTACATTTTTGCAGTATATAGTGATTACACTTATCATGATGAATGCCTTTCTGTACATAACACACCCTAATTTGTTTCTTTCCCTTCCCGTCTCTCGCTGCTCCTTCCAAATCTGAATTCCCTTCCCATTTGAAAAAGCTATATTTCCATTATCTTCTGTTTTTTAAAAATCCTTTTTCCATTCCTTCTCCCTTCCCTTCGATCTCTTGTTCTCCTCATTTGAAACATATCTCCCATTTCCTATAACCTATCCTTCATCTTGCTTTTTATTTATAGTTTGGGTGTCTAATATAAGAGGAAGTATGTGATATTTAAACCGATGTTTTTGATTTAGCACATTCACCGTTATGGTCTCGAGACACAATCATTTACCTACAAATGCTTCAAGTCTATCCTTTATGACAGCGTAGTACTCATCAATTCACTACTGCTGAACATTTGTTTCCGTCTTTCCATGAAAGTGAATAATTCTATTACATTTGTGTACATCCGTCTTTCCATGAAGGTGAATAATTCTAATACATTTGCGTACAAATATTTGAGGATATGCTTTCAATTCATTTGGGGCATATTTAGAAATGCCATGAGTCATATGATAATTTTATCTTTGTTTTTATGGGGGCAACTGTTTTCAATAATAGTTGTGTATTTATAGTCCCACCAGCAAAGTATGCACGTCATCCTTTATTCTTTATTTGTCCTTTCTCTTCTCTCTCCTTTCAGGAAACCCAGTAAACCACCCCTCACCAGTTCCCCAATCCCTGGGGTAAAGGGTGGGAGGTGCTTGCACTTCCAGCAGAGTAACAAGACGTCTCAGGGCAAAGCTCCACTTTCCCTTATCTACCAATAGGACCCTGTGAGCAGGGGCAGGGAGGACAGGCTATGGCCCCCACAGCATCAATCAGCCACAGCCACCACTGTCATTCAGGTGCTCTCATAAACTACCGCTCTAGCGGCCTTCACCACCTCCATCCTCTCCCTGAGCTCTCATCAAACCCCAACAGAGCAAAGCTGCGAGGCAGCAAGAAGCTGCTCTGCAAAGGCGCTGGCGGCCTGGCTCACTCAGAGCTGGGCGGCAGGGAAGCACCCACAGCAGCTGAGACGCTGGCAGCCAGGCCTTCTGCCCTCCGGCCCCGCCATTTTCCCCTCCAGCCCCGCCCTTCTTCCCTCCTGCCCCGCCCCTCTGCCTGTGTCCCAGGCCGGGCGCGGCCGGCTCGCTAGCGCAGGGCGTGGTCTGGCTTCCTCAGCGCTCCCCGGGGTTACTGCGGTGCCCAGAGCGCCTCGAGGTTATTCGCGTTCACTCACCCCACGGCGTCTGACCCGGCCCAGCCAATCAGCAGCGAGCGGAGGCCCGACTCCTGCGGCGCTCTGGGTCTTCGGGGCGGGAGCCGCGCTTTGGTTTCCAGGGTGGGCCGGGCGCTGCTCTGGGCTTTTCCCGACTCACCTCGGAGCGCGGAAGTGCGCCCAGGCCCCTGCCCTGAGTACAGAGCCCGGAGTCCCACGCGCTCTGGCCAGGGAGCTCCGGTGGGTGGGCAGGGCCGTCCTTCCCAGTAGAGGCTCCTCGGCGGAAGGGGACGCGGAACGCGGGAGCCGTGGCCTGCTAGCGCTCCCGCTGGGGGCCCCGCGGTGTGTGCTCCGGGTCCCGGTGGTGGTCTAGGTGGGTGGTTAACAGAGCAGGCCGGGAAGCAGGACGCAATTTTATTCTTGGCGTCACGTAGGCGCCAGAGCGCCAGGAGTCAGCCAAACAGGCTTTGATTAGGTGGTGGTGAGCAGAGGCTGTGGGCAGGCGCACACTCTGGCCGAGTTAAAATTCTAGGCTGGTGTCACTGTGCCTGTAGGGGTGTCCAGTGCAGTGGGAAGCCAAAGGGGAAAGAGGCTGTGAGTGCTGGTAGTAGCCAGCGGATTGCTTCCTACCTGATGAGGAGTCATCAGATTTGTGCAGGTAGTAGAGGAAAATTCCTTGTTTCCAAAAGTTGCACTAGTGGCAAGAGCTGAATCTAAGGGAACAGAATAAAGTAAGATTGAGGCTTTAGTGCAACGAAGGTGTCCCACCCTGGGACCTCCAGATATGAGCTGCTGGTGGTGGGAATGAAAAGGAAGGGGAAAGTCGGGCCTTTTTTTTTTTTTTTTTTTTTTTTTTTTTTGGTCTCGCTATGCAGTTCAGGCTGGCCTTGGGCTCACATTGTAGCCCAGGCTGGTCTCAAACTCGCAAGGATCCTCCCACCTCAACCTCCAGAGTGCTGGGATTACAGGCGTGAGCTACCACACCCCGCTGTCAGGCATTTTTGAAGCAGAATGAGTTCACACTCAGTTGACTCTAGAACAGTTAAGAGAAATGTCTAACATGACTTGTAGTTTCTTGCCTAATTGAGAGGATAGCACTTTTACTAATTTAAATGTTTCATGAGAGTGAAACTGAGGTGGAATAGATATCGGAGTTCATCTTTGACACAGGTTTAATAGTAAGGAGTGGTGGTTATTAATGGCAATGGTGGCTGTGTCTTAGTAGTGTCAGAGAGGTGTCAGCCTGTCTTTCCTGCCCCTGTTCACACCATTCTATTTGTGCATAAGGCCAGGCTGGAGGCTTTTACCTGATAATAGTCTTGCCACTAGAGGTATGGCACCTGTCACTCTACCCCAGAGCTAAGGGTGATCTGTGTTGACAGATACATGTGGAAATACCCTACTGTAGACTGTTTCAAACATCAGAATCTGATGTTTGAAAAAGAATTAGAGATCTGGAGTTTAGTAAATCTAAGAAGAAAGTTACATGGAAAAAAATTATAGAGTAACATTTAACAACAAATCTGGGAACGTGGCCACAAGTAGAAAGAGGACATAGAGTTAGCAAAACAAGTTATCAAAAGATGGGAAAAACCAATCATAAGTGAAAAAGTAACTCCAAAAGATGCAACAAGCCAGTGTTTTATAGCCATATAAATATTATATGTGTGTATATATATACGTATACACATCTGTACATACATGTATAGATATATTGTAAATAGTGTAAAATTGCCATGTACATTTCAATTTGAGAGTATCAGGTTAAGAAAACAACATGTATACTACTGTTTTTTTTTTTTCTTTTTGACATTACATTTGTGACTTCAGAAGGCCAAAAACTTAATTGTATACAATACCCAAAAATTTTAAACTGCAATACCTAAGTAAAAAGGAACACCACTCATGATCCTTATTTCACAGAGTGGAGCTGGGAATTAAATGCTAGATGAAACGCAGTACCTGAACACAGGTAGGGCTTGGGCTGTGAAGAGGGGAGGGTGATCCAGGAGCACGGCTTGAAGAAGGAAGGGCTGTTAGCCTGGTTTGTTGGAATATAGGACACACAAATGACAAGACCATGCATCAGGATAGATCAAAAACAGTTGAAGAAAATGAGTTTTTCAGATTAAAAAAAGAAGTTTGATGAGGGGACTTGGGAACTGATTTAAAACATGACACGGAAGAAAATGTAGATCTTTTCCTTAACACTTCAGAGCAATAAAACTGTGTATGAATGAGAGTATTCCTATAGAGGGAGACAGCAGGACTGATTTCAGGTCAACATAATCAACTTTTTAGTACACCCACACCTCACCAAATCTGCACAGTTTCTCCAAGATGCTATGTGATGGTTCCTCCATGGAATCAGATAATGGATAAGATTTCCTCTTAGGTACACTTAGTTGCAAAACAATGATTTGAAGTACATAAAAAGTCTTTGACCAAACATACCAGTGCTGTCTTCATATTTTGGCATTTCCCATTTCTTCATGATTTTAACAAACTCTCTTTAGGCTGTCTTTATGATCTGGAATAGATGACTTTAAAGTGATCCTACTTAGATGATAACTTAGTTGCATGTCTAAACATTCTGGTAGAAATGTAATTATTTGGCGCTGTAATATGAGTTCTCATTATATATCTGTTTCTCTTATTTTACATAGAATGCAATGGAGAACCTATTAGACTAGCAATCAGTATGACCTAGTTTCAAGTGTTGGTTTCACCTCTTAGGTGCATAACTTTTGGGAGGCATTTAAGGCAGAGGCTTTTAACATGTGTACCATGATTGCCTAGAGATCCCCTCCCCAAGAAACTTTGAGGGGAGTTGTGTAGCCAAAATTATTCTCACAATAATAAGCCCTTATTTGCATTTTTTTGCTATCATATTGCATTTGTACGAATGATATCAGAGCTATGGTAGCTAAACTGGTTTCCTTTTGATCTGAATCAAGCCAGCAGCATCAGACTGTACCAGGGCTTATTGTATTATTCATTCAAAGGCTTGTAGGAATTCAGTTTCATTTAAGTTAGTCTTGATAAAAGAGGAAAATTAGTTGTATTAAATTGATTCTTAGACTATGTCTTTTAAACATGCTGTGTCATGAATCTAGGTATCTTCTCCAAAGAGTTTGACATTATACCACGGTAATACATGCATACTTATGTTCAAAACAGCATAATTCATAACAGTAAAATCCTGGAAACAGCCTGTATGCCTACCAACAGAAACTAGGTAGAGAAAATGTGGTGGAATACCACGCACTATAAAGGAGGACCAATTTGAGACGTGTAAGAAAATGGATGCCTCTTAAAAATATAATGTGGAGTGAAATAAATCAGACATACAAACTTGAATACCATATGGTATCTCTCATCTGAGTAAGAAAAAGGACAAATTAAAAGAAAAAGGATAGAATGAGACAAGGGGGTGGACCTCCTGCAGATGGGAAGGTGTCCACAGGACCAAGGGTGAGGGGTTGGGGAAATACGCTGAAGACATGCCAGGTACAAGGTCCTAATAACTCAACGAATGTGGACATTATATGTTATAAACATGAGCTAAGATTAATAATATCAACAAGAATGAAAAGAAGGAAAGAGGAACTAGAGCAAGAGGGGAAAGAGGATTCACAAAAGAAATAAGCTGTATTATGCGCATGTACCAACTCCCCAAGATGTGTAAAATGCATGTACTGCAAGCATGTACAGTAAATTTGAAAAAAATTTGCTCTTTCAGGTCCTCCATTCCAAGATGACAAAAAAAAAGAACAATAGTCATGCCAAAAAGGGCCATGGTTATGTGCAGCCTGCTCACTGCACGAACTGTGCCAAGTGGATACCCAAGGATAAGGCCATTAAGACATTTGTTATTCAAAACATTGTAGAGGCCAACAGGGATGTTTCTGAAGCAAGTGTCTTGAACAATTATGTCCTTCCCAAGCTCTATATGAAGCTTCGTTACTGTGTGAGTCATGCCATTCACAACCAAGTGGCCAGGAATCAATCTCGTGAAGCCCCGAAGGACTGTACACCTCCACCTTGATTAAGACCTGCTGGTGCTGCCCTACAACCTCCATCAAAGCCCATGTAAGGAGCTGGGTCTTAATGGCCTGAAGAGAACCAGCTTTGGCAACGCATGTATTAGTGGACTGAAGAAAACAGTGTCTTGGGAAAGAAATAATAAAGTGGATATTATACTTAAAATAAAACCTGAAGTACATACATACCATGCAATACTACTTAGTAACAAAAAAGAGCCAGGCATTGTGCACACCTGTAATTCTAGTACTCTGGAGGCTGAATCAGGAAGATTACAGTATGTTGGAAGGCATTCTGGGCTATATAGTAAGTTCAAAATCAGTCTGAGATACATAGTGAGACTCTGTCCCAAAAATAACGACAAAAAAAAAAATGAGCCATTTATACACTAAACAATTTAAATGATAACCAGAATATTATGATGAGTGAAAAGGGCCAATCCCAAACAGTTACATACTTTATTTCATTTATATAAAATTTCAAAAATTATAATGTTAGAAACATTGAATAGATTTGTGATACCAGTGATTAATGATTACAATGATCAGATGTAAACCTATACATGTGATACATTTTAACTGCATAGAACTAAATACATGTACACAAATAAGCAATTATAAAATGGGAAATTTGATTTAAGATTGGTGGGTATTATCAATAAAGATATCTTATTTGTCATACTGTAGTTTTTTTTTTTTGGTTCCAGGGGTCAAACTCACAGCTTTGTGCTTGCCAGGCAGAGGCTATTGCTGCTGAGCTAAATCCCAACCCAATATGGTAGTTTTGTAAACAGAAGAAACTGATCAAACTGACACAGGATCTCTATTATATATTGCACCTATATGCATAGCTGTAATGTTTTTCAATTACAATGTCAATAATAAGAAAATTCTGTCACGAAATGAGAAGTTCATATGAACATTTCTGCCACTTGTCAAAGGAAAAAGTATATGTGATCTTTTTTTTACACACTACATAGTTGAGGCTAGTCTTAAACTCACTTTGTACAGTAGTTCAAACTGGCCTTAAACTTGTGGCAAACTTCCTGCCTCACCCTCTTATGTGCTGGGATTAAAGTGTGTACCACCACACCCAGGTGTGGTCATTTTTACAAGATGAATTAATTGCTTTTCTCATATGATACCATTTTTTGTTAAAAAAAATGACAGCCAAATGATAGCTAACCAGACCTTGGTATTTGGCAAAACTTCCCTCAAATATTAAAAAGGTAAGATTGTTACTTTAAGGAACCAGGATATGATATTTGTTCTAATTATGAAATTTGACCTTTCAGGCAAAGTAGAATTTGGAAATATCTTAGTGGTGGCACTGAATTTGGCAGTTTTATAATAACTGCAGGCTCATGTGATGAGATCATGTTGCTATTAATGAATGTGAAGGATTTTCATGACCCAATATTTTCTATATGACAAAAACATAATAGTACAAAAACATACATAAGTAAAATTTGCCTTCAGAGTGCAAGCAAGATTAACGGGTTCTTATGCAGAAGAATATGAAAATTTCATTGATACTGTTTCAGATTTTACAGGGCAACTAACATTAAGAAATGATCATTTGTTGAGTTTTAGTATACTATATAAAAGAAAACTTGCATGTTTATCTTGTACAAGGCAATTAAAATACTACTCCTTTTCTAACTGTATTTATAAATGAGATTAAGTGTTTTTCATGCCAAAACGCATATGCCATATATAACTACTATTCTAGTTTATATATTTACCTACTCTGGAACATTTAGAATCGCATTATGTGATCTTTGTATCTAACTACTTTCACTTAGCATGATGCGTTCAAAGTTCCCACACATAGCATACACCAGTACTTTGTTCCCGTCTGTCTCTCTTCTCACTGCCCCCGCCATTTTTGCAGAACTGGGGAATTGAACCAAAGGCCTTATGCATACTAACACAAAGCCTCCAGCACTGAACTATATTCCTAGTCCATTCTAAAATTTTATTTTGAAGCAACATCTTGCTAAGTGCCTAGGGCTCATGACCCTCCTTGCCTGAATTCCTCTAGTATCTGGGATTACAGACTTGAGTCCTTATGCCCGGCAATTCTTTGTTATTGCTGAAAAATATTACATCATATGTACTTATCCTATTTTATTTATCACTTTATCAGATGGATATTTAAATTATTCCTACTTTGCGGTATTGTAAATACTGTTATGAAAATTCATATTTTGGGGGTGCCAACATACTTTTAGTTCTTGCAAAGTTATGAGAATCACTGGATCATATAGTAATTCTTTTTTTTTTTTTTTGTCTTCTTCGTTTTTATCGGTACCAGGGATCGAACTCATGACTGCCTGCTTGCAAGGCAGGCGCTTATGCCGCTGAGCTAAATCCCCAGCCCCCATATAGTAATTCTAATGCTTAAATTTTGATGACTGTTTACAGTCTTCCATAACAACTCCACCATTTAACATTCCAATTTCTCTCTGCTTTTATCTGGCTTTCATTATAGCAATCCTAGTGAATATGTAGTGGTGTTTCCTTATGGTATTCATTTGGCGTTTTCATTCTAACTAATGGAATTCCACACTTTTCATGTGCTTGTTGGCCATTTGCATATTTCCTTTGAAGAAATGTGTATTCAAATAATTTTCCCAGGACTGGGGATGTGGCTGAGGTAGAGCACATACTTAGCGTTTGTGAAACCCTTGACTTCCATCTCTAGTACCACAAGCAAAAAGAACAAAGGAAATTCTTTACTCATTTAAAATCTAGGCTAAGCAGTTTTTATTCCTAAATTTTAGGATTCTTTATATATTACAAATATAAACCCCTTTACAGATACAAGTTTTGCAAATATTTTTTCAATTCTGTGAAATATATTTTTACTTTCTTGGTAGTGTTTTCTGAACTACAAATATTTTTTGATTTGATGATGCCAAATTGTCCAGTTTTTCTTTTTTTGCTTGTGATTTTGGTATCATATCAAACTGATCTGACATGTGGTCATAAAGATCTACACTTAGTTTTAAGTGTAGATCTTTATGTTTTACTTAGTTACTTAGTTTTAATTATAGCTCTTATCTTTTAAGTCTTGGTCCATTTTGATTTTGTTTTTATATGACATAAGGTACTTCAATAATTTTAAGGTATAAAGGGCTTCTGAGAGCTAAGTGAGAACCAATGCTTTACATTTTCTTTTTTCTTTATTAGTACATGTTTGCAATTCATGAAGCTTACAATCATCTTGGGGAGTGGTTATGTGTACATATGATGACTCGTTGCTTTTTTTTTAAAATCCCTTTCCCTTTCACTCCCTCTTTCTTCCTCCAGTTGTCCTACTCCATGTTTTATTCTTGTTCATATTATTAAACTAAGTTCATGCTATGCCATATAATGTTTACATTAATTGAGGGTATTAGATTGCTGCGCCTGGTATATCTTTATTCTACTTATTTCTGCTGCCCCTCCTTACCCCTCACACTTTTTCCCCTTGGACTATTTCCCTACTGCAAGAGATCCATGTCCTGTCCTCTTCTATCCACCCTGTATTATTCTCTTTGTGCTTTGCTTCACTCAACTGAGATTTACATTTTCTAACCTACATTTGCCATCTTTAAAAAGATGATTTTATTTGACTTATCATATTCTAGGTTACCTATGAAATCAAACAGGCGATATGAATAATTGGACAGGATAAATTAAAGCACTATTTAAATGTAGTTACCATTACTGCCTTCATCACTTTTGTGTATTTTGTCTGCTTCTGTTACAACAGTCTCGTGTTCTTCTTTTCTGTTCTCTACCTGCAAGAGCAGCTTTCTCCTACTAGACACATAGTAGATCCTCATCAAATATTTGTGAACTGACTGGTATACATGTAAGACCCATACTTTCTTCACATGAGCTATGAAGCTAAGATTTCCCCATTCTGTTTGTAAAGTGAATGTTTGGACACATACATGGCCCTTTAAGTGTTCTTATGTGTTAGTTTTAGCTATGGAACTCATTGAGGACTTTTTGAAACCCAATCCTTTCTTACAGTATTTTAATTATCCCTTTTATTTTTGTTTAATTGAAAATAAGATTGAGCATGCCTTCTAAGCCCTGTCTTAGAAATAAGAGGTTTGTTAAACTAAGAGCACAGGACAAAGCAAAATATTTGTTTGGAACTAATTTAAAATTAGATACTCATTCTAAGTGAGTACTGAGTGATAAACAGATGAGCACACCTGGTCAACCAGGGTCATTCCAATTTGTCCTCCAAAATATTCACTCTTTATGTCACGGACTAACCTTAGAATTAGAGCCAGTACACTGGTAGTTGAATAAAATAGAAAATATTCTAGAATTTGCTACATAAATAGTAATATTCTGAGTAAAAATAACCTGAGGTAAAAATAGCCCCGTCCTTCATTCCCTGTGAAGGCTACACACTGTCCTGAAGCAATCTCCACTGAAGCTTCTCACCTGCTTGACCCTGGGTTGCATGCTTCCTGACCTGTTTGCAAAGTTCTTCTTTTGTAAATTTCTACAGCATCAATGTAGCTGTTTCCTTTTCTCTCCTGAGTTGGATCCTCCATTCCCGGATTCTTTGTGTTTCTCTTTCTTGGTTTACTGCATTGTTTTGGAGGAGTACGTTCTGTATTATCTGTATTTCCAGTTTTCCCAAATTTCATGATGGTATACCTTGGGATCAATTCATACCCATGTATTATCAAGGATAGTCTTTGGACTGTTTCTAGAAAAGTATGTCTTTCAATTCTGAGATTTAAAAGATTTTTGACTGGTTACTTTTTCCTCATCTTCCACTTCTATTTTTTCTCTCTCAAGACCCCAGATGCATTATTTACAAAAATTTTTTATTTTGTTTTTCTTTATACATGCTGAAGAGCATGGGTTGGGATCCTCTTAGCAACTCAATGACAGGCAAAAGTCCTGGATTCCAGCTGCATAAATTACTCTATCTCCCTCCTATAAGAAGCTTGTTAGCTTTCCAGGACCAAAGAAACACTCATTAACTTTCTCTAATTGTATTTTCCCACCTGCTGTTGATCTGCCCAGGGTATGGGCAGGGCTTCCTAGCTCTCAGTAAGCAGTGGTAGAAATTTTTCTTTCTCAGTGGATCTTTCCTGAGCTGCTCAAATGTGATCCCTCCTCTGGTCAGCTATGTTGAATCCTCTAACTTTCTTTTTCTGAGAGCAAGTGTTTAAGTACCCTGCCTAGCAGGAAAAAAGGAGGGAAGAAATAGAAAACAAGGAAAAAAAAGGAAAGGAGAGAAAGTGAATCAGTGGCTCAAATTCACATTTTGGAAAAATACAAAGTTTGGGCAATTTGAAAATAGGTATAGTAAATTGCACATGCTATCATGGTGTTTGCAGGGCAAGGTGACTTTCTTAGAAGATTTGATAGAAACAACGAGAGCAGTGAAGTACAGTATGGCTAAAGCTGAGATAGTAACATCTATCCTGAAATGAATAGGGGACTTGAGGCTGCTGTACCCTGGTCAGGCCATCTCCAGTGGTTGACATTTGACTCTACAGTGACATTTGACACATATTGGCTATTCCAATAATTGAATTATTCCTGTGCCAAGTTGGCTTATGAAATAAGCCAGCAATTTATGATATTGTAACAAAAGGCACAGATAGGCCCACAGGGCATTTTGACTGCCACTTTCCTAATTTCTTTTTTTTAGAAGAATGAGATAGAAAACAAAGTTATTGGGGATTTTGATTTGCTTACTTTATCATTTCCTGGGCTCCTGTCAGAGAACCAAAGAATAACAACATGTGGTTTTATAAAGCAAGCTAAAAAAGTACAAAATAAGATAATGTTATATCCACTGGGTGTGGTAGTGCATTTCTATAATCCTAGTACCTGGAAG